GACATCAGCTGACATTGACAACATCAGCATAACCTCAAAGCAACACAGCAATATCCAAAGAAGCCTTTATAGCAGAAAAATCACAAGAACACATCTTTTGAATAATCGAACAGAATTATTTATTTCTACACAACAGTGCAATATTATTATAATTGTTTACACTCATTAAACCTTGTTTAAAATAAATATATTATATTTTTCAGCCTTGTCCGTTATTGATTTCCTTTAAAATTATCCTGCCGAGAGACTAATCCACTGAACTATTGAATTGGCAGTTCGAGCCATAAGCTAACCCTTTAAATCCGAACAGTATATTATATAATGCATTTTTTAATATTACAGAAGCTTTGTTTGATAAATATCCAAAGCATCAATTTAAAATGTTGTAAATTTAGAAAATTTAAATCATATTGACACTTTCCATTTTACAAAGATTTTTCTCATACTCTTGATTTCAAGTACTCCCATATTTTGTGTCAAGGTTAATTGTATAATATATTTAAACATTCATTTGCAATGAAAATTAATTGAAGTCCATTATAACAAAATATTTGTTACATAATAATTTTATATATTTATATATTTTTAATTTTACATAAATTTTTTTAAATAATCAATATCAATGTTGCAGTAATTTTAGTTTAGTGTATCATCAATTCCATCTTTTGGAAAATACATATTTATTATAATACTTTTTTTAGATATATATTTCTTCACTTACATAATATAAAAATTTAAATTTAAATTTATACAAATTTTTGTAAAATAATTAAATTGGTACGTATATATTCATACTTATAGATTTAGTTAATATTTCAAATAAATATTATTAAATTATTCGAATATTAATTGATGTAACTTAAAAATTATAAGTAAGTAAAGGTTATGTTCAAATGACTTAACCTTTTGGACTAAGACAACAGGACTATTTAATTTTGTTTGCATATAATAAAAAATGGTATATTGAAAATAATATATTTAAAAGACGATTTCTACTTAACAAATTGATGGTTTAAATAAATATTAATTGTTCTATATTCTATTAATAACCAGAAATTAAACGTAAACATAAATATATTATATTTTTAAAAGATAATATAATAGTTTCAAAGCCAATTGTAATAAGGTTTCTAGAAAAGATATTTAGATATTTATTGCTATTCATTTACGGTTTGTAACAAAACAGATTCTAACTTAATTGGAGATTTGTGTTGCTAATATACAGCCGCAAATAAATATATATAAATATTTAAACAATTCATTCATAAATATAAAATGGTAACGTTCAATTGACTCATTATACAACAAAAAGTATTTTGTAAAAAAAATAAATATGTCAGTAAATAATTTTGTGCAAATCTTAAATTATTGGTTTGTACAGTAAAATAATGGTACAGTAAAACAATTGATACAGTAAAATAATTAACATATATATTAATTCGTCATTATTCATGTGTATGCTATATGTTGTATGTTGTAGAATGTGTTATTTTATTTTAATGCATTTTATGCGTTTAAAAATAATAATTTATTCATTCAGATTTAAATAGATTATTTTAATTTTTACAGACATATATTTCAAAGTACAAAAAAAATATGTAAATATATTACATTTTATTACACGCGTATTAAATATATTAGACGTTCAGTTTTACATTCACATATAAAATCTTTTAAATGCAGATATATTATTTTTCAATAATTTTATATTATTAATAAATTTTGTTATATATTTAAATTAATTTGATGTTTTATATTTTAAATTTAAATAAATTTTTTTTTAAGAAACCTAAATCTAAGTTTATATATAGTAATTAAAAAGATAAAGTGTTTGAGAACAGTTTGAAGATAAATAATAAGATAAATAATTTCGTAGATTTTTTTAACTAATATTATTTGTAATTATTTTATGATAACTTTTCATAATGAATTATTCTTTTGCTTTCTTTGTATAACCCTTTCTAGTTCATTGCGAAAACTGTACTAACACGTCTCGTTGTTTCTTTTTCGATAGCAATACTCTTTTTCGCGATTGAATGGGTTCTTTTATTATCGTTGACGGGCACGAGTATAAGCTTTTTTAGCGAGTAAGTAAAGGAACAATAGTAATAATCGACATCAGTTATCTAAATAACATATTGTCGAAAGAGAAATAAATAGTCATTAAAAAATTTAATATTTGAGAAGCATAATCTAGTTATAAATTTCTATTTTATACACAAATAAAATACATTGTTCCATTTATAAACTTTTTTTAATAATTTTATTCTTAACAAATTAAAGCTTAATATTAGCAATGTTCTATTTAGAATTTTGGCTGGCAAACTTCATCTACTTAATACTATGGAATTAACATAAATTATAAAATATGAGTTCATCCATTATTTTATAACTTTCCAATATATTTCTATGTAAGTAAACTAATCAAAATAGTCAATAACTACATCCACGAGGATGTAAATATTTTTATAATTACATATCAAAACATTACCTCACCATAACTACCTATTTAAATACATTAGAAAAACATAAAAATTATTTATTTACCATCACCAATTTGAATTCGTGTGAAACAGTATTAAATCATACGTCAGTTATTGAAAGATAAATAAAAATACAATAAATTATTATTTTCATAAAATATAACCAGTAAAACACAAATTTTTTATAATGCTATATAGTTGTTTTCCATTTATTGATTGTCAAAGTGTCAAAGTTATAATATATTATATTTATATATCTATGTGTTATTACGATTATGTATAGCAATTATAAATAACATTGATGTATAAAAATAACTAAAAGTAGTAACCGAACAATGTTTGTCTCTATACTTGTTTAGTAATTCTACTTTTAAAATTATAATAGAATACATCACAACTATCTAAATATTAAAAGCATGGAATAAACAAATTAAATTATTAAACTTAATCTTGTATGCTGATGAGGATATGAAAATTGAAAACATAACTTATCATTCAAAATTCATTGTTATTAATGTTTAATAAATTTTAGTCATTACATTATAAAAAAAAATATATAAATAACAAAATTTTAATAATTGTATTAAAAATATGTAATTATTACAGTAAAAATTTATTTTGTAGAATTGCAATTCGCCTTTTTTTTAAAGCATTTTAATTTATAAAAAATGAGATGACTTTCAGATTCATATGATAAAATATATTATATATTCAAATTTGGAGTATTATTGTAAAAATATTGCCTTTCATTTATTTTTTATAATCTTTAAACACTTAATTATTCGTTTAAAATGTACTATTTCTATTTTATACTCCAAAAACTAGAAATTGTGTAAAATATTTTTAAATATTTTATATTAAGCTTATTTTTAAAATTTAATTCATATTTAATTTAAACTTTAATCTTTAAATACTTTAAAGTTAATTTAGATAAAAATATTGATAATATTTAAAAACTAATATTAATTGAATTGAATTTTCATAATAATATAAGAACCAAATTAAAATTTTAAATTTTTGTTTGAAATCAAAATTAAAATCATGTGTAGTTTAATGTAGTTGTAATTACAAAAATTAAATAAAATAATCTTTTTAGTATTCTATATCATTATTATTAATACCTTGATTTAAAATATTAAAATTGAATAAAAAAATATAATGTAATTACTGATGTTTTTATTTATTAATATAATATAAGGTTTAATATGATATATTAAAATATAATTAAATTTTAAAGTATAACTATTTATTGAATACATTAAGTTTCTTAGTATTTTAGAAATAAAATAAATTATGAATTGTAAATAATTTCTAATTAATTTACAACATTTTAAACTATTTTATAATTATATATGATAATAGTCTTTTAGTAATTTGAAATCATACCTAAATTCCTCGATATAAATTCATTTATATACGAAATGTCCATCGAAGTAAATAATAGATATCCAACCAAGAATTTAATAAATAAATATATAATAAATTAGAATATAAAATTGTCAGTGCACACAATTATGACATATATTATTAATTTATATAGTTTTCTCATATTTATTCTTAATATTACACAATTTTAACATAATCTCATGAGTATGTTATTACTTAAAATGCATGCTAAAAGAACTATTTTTAAATATTATAATATATATTTTTTCTATGTTTGATGTTAAATAAAATTATTTTTTTATAATAATTGACGAAAATTCAAATGTTTAACTATTTTTTATCTTATTATGAATTTATTAAATGTAGTATTATTATTAAATGAAGTAATTGAAATAAATTAGAGTTTTTAATGAAATGTAAGATACAAAGTACTATTGTAATTATTTTGAAAATTATAATATAAAATAAGTATATTATAATTGACTAATATTAATCTTTTATACAAAAAAGTAATTTGCATTCTCCAAGAATATTCTATTTAATCACTAGGATTCATTTCTATTCAAAGTTGAGCATGCTTTAAGTTAAGTAAGTATTCAATTAAATTATGGAAGTTCTCTATTCAACCTGATAGTATAGTATTAAACTCTTTAATTTATTCTAATTTCTAATTCAAAGTTATGGTTGTTACTAATTTGACAAAAAAATAATATTTACTTCACTTAATTATTAAATACACAAGAATACAGAAGTGCATATATAAAAGAGACTGACTTATATGTATACGTACGTACAAAAGAATATAGGTACTACATCAGCTTTATATTAGAAATTAAGAATTCATTAGAATATTAATTTAATTGAAAGGGAATACTAAATACATAAAAACTCGTTATAATGATATTATCTTTAATATATAAGACTTTCAAATAAGAATTTGTAACATAAAAATTAAATTTTATTAGCAGACTGTTGCATAATTCCAAACAAAATAATTAACAGTAACTTTTTTATCAAAATAATATTTATTAATTAGAACTAATTTAAATATGTTAAAAATCTCTAACCAAACGATTCATGAATATTTCAATACTTTGCTATAGATTTTATACATTAATCTTTTTTACACAACTTTTTTATGGAACTTTCTTAAATGACAAATTATGCTGAAATGCAATGATATTAACCGTGCTGTTCAGCTTCAAAACGTGGTGATGTTATAAAGCATCTAGCTTTGGTCTTAGAAATCGCAATTAAGTATATATCCAGATTCTACCTGGGAAGATTTGATGTTCCGGATTCTTGCCATCGCGTAGCAGATGCTGACTATGTAGGACCGTGGCATCGCTCGTTGCATCGTCGGCCACAACTCGAAGAAAAAGCACGAGGCCCGATTGGCTACGTTCCGCAGGTAAATCTGTCACTTCCAGTATTGAAGGTGTCATGCTTGAGGCCGACGCTAGGAGTCGACGCGTCTCCGCATCGAATACTTGAAGCACGTACACAGGATCAACGTAACCACTCTCGGCGCAACTTACTCGTACAGTCGTCCGGCTTTCTTCCATAATTGTGCAGTTCTCTGGTGATGGAGGCCGCGTTGGCTTTTCACCTGCATATGTATTATATTTGCTTTTCTTTTCGATGGTATCGTTATTACTGTATTTTATTTATCGATGATAACGAGACCATTCACTAAAATTAGTCAAATATGGTTTAAACTTATAATAAACAAGATGTTTTCTATTTGGATGATAGAATAAATATCTCTTTTATTTCATTTATGAAATAATATATTTCTCTTTTTTCTGATTAAAATTAATGGATAGTAGAATATTTATAATACCGTAATATTTATCAACAACTATGTTTATTCATTGGCACTTTGATAATACTGAATAAACTTAGAAACGTTTATACATAACTAAATTTCAATTCTATAGAAATAGATTCATGATAATAAAACACTAGGACGTTTTAAATCGTGAAAAATACTAAGTGATTCATTAAACACAACTTACAGTTCCTTAAAGATCATTAAAATATGTAATTTTTAAAATTATTTTTAGTATTTCCTAGTAATAGTAATAATTCATAATTAAAATTTATTTAAACAGTTTATTCAGAAACACATATTACTAAATATACTATCAAGTTTATCAAGTCATAATTAACAATATGAAAAGGTATAAACTATATCATTTAAAGTAATTTATAAAAAGTATGCAGAATCTACTTCTGAAAATTTTATAACCATTATTAGAAAAAATTTCATTTTATAAAAATATTGAGGATAAATTATTTATTTACAATGTATTCTATAATAAGTAATAAGTATATACTCTTTAATGAAAATATTGTGTTTTGTGTATGGTAATACGAAATTATGAAAATGATCTTATAAAAATGAATTACATGCATAATGGACGCGTTAGAATATCCAAGATATTTGTAAGTGGAAATTTGAACACGTTAATACTATCACAAATGATAATATGCAATAGCCGTACAAGATTGTAAAAACGATTATTAGATTATTATTAGAAGATGAGGTGACCGGCGTTCTATTTCGTAATGAAAACAGAACAATCGCACATTATATAAAATTAAATAAAATTAAAAATATATTTTTATTAAAAGCAACAAAGAAAATTTTTAAATACTAGATATTATATTAGACAATTTTAACTGAAATCTATACTGAAAATTTTTCGTAGAAAATATTATAGTACGAATTATCTTAAAAGAATGACTGTATAAAATTAATATATATAATTTAGTAATTAAACAAACTATTATACATATGACAGCAAAATGTATATTGCTCAGTTTAACTGAAGAATAAAAGTTAGGTTTAATGTATCACAAAGTAGATGGAACAGTGACAGTCGAGATGATCTTTCGTTTTATAATATATTCAAGATAATAAATAATTATGGGAAAATAAAAACAATTTATCGATAACTGCAATATTTTTACATAAATTAGAAATTGAATTCCTGATATATAATCAATAAACAAATCGATATTATATGGATTTAATTACCTTAGTATATAGTAAACCCTTCGTATTAAATGCATAATATAATTAAGTCATGTATATTCATTTTAATAGATTAATACATAAAGTAATAAGAATAGTATCTGTATAACATTTACTTGAATAGCTTTAAATTAAATTCCTTAAATTTATTACTCAGCATTTAAGCAGATTGGACCTGTATGTGATATTAACTGCTTTTTTATATTTAAAAGAATATTAAATTTAACAATTCATTTAATTGACGAAATATTTGATCAATATGAATATTTAATAAAAACTAAAAAAAATTTGAAGAAACTGGCCAAATTCAATTTTTAATACAATTTATAGTTTTGCCAGTGCTAATGTTGTTCTTTAGCTTCAAAATTTGATGCAAAACTAGTGTTATGAATAATATCAACCTTTTCTTACATAGAAAATTTTGACTGAAAAATTCTTTGTATACTTTTTAGAAACTATAAATCTAAAGTTTATAAAAAATATCTAAATAATGTTTTTATGTAATAACTAGTACAACAATACAATTTGAGTTATACACTCGAATACTGCCTATTCCTAGTATATTGATGATTTCAAGATACTGTGGAAATGTAAGATACGTTGATATATGAGTAACCGAAATGCAATAAAAATTTATATAAAAATATTTCCTTAATTTTTATTTCATTATTTTTTTATTGTCCTTCATTATTATTTCATTTAAATATTATCCATCAAAATTTAACTTATTGTTTTTATTTAATATCTAATTTATATCACCTTAATTACATTAAAACTATTTATGTGATACCGAATACAATGAAATTATTGAACAAAACATTAATGAAATTTTAATAACATATGAAAACTATTATATTCAACCATAAGAATTTATGAGCAATTAAAGTATGTACAAAATATTTTAGTTAATAAATATTTGTATATAAAATATAGCTCTCATTTAGAATTCTTAAATTCAGTATATCAATACAATGCTTACAAATATTCGTGCATTATTATTAATTAAAAAAAATTCCTTTTTAAATACAATTTTATAAATTAAAAGTATTTAATGAAATAATAATTTTATTTAATTGTTTTTCTATTTTTATCTCATAATATCAAAATTAAATAATTGAGGGTAAATTATTCTTACCACATTTTAAATTATGCTTTTATATTTTTATGAAACAAAATTGATTAAAAAATAGAAATAAAAAAAATTTAATTGGTTAGAAATATTTTGACTACAGTTCGACTTAAACTTAATCTAATTTTTAAGATTCCCAGTTAATAAAAGTATGGAAGTAATTTTATAACTGTACAAATGCTGTTATTTTGGTTTCTATCAATTATAATTAAAGAATCATTTTTTAAGTTGAAATTAATAATTATAATATTTGTAATATAACAATTATAATTTTGTTAACTTAATAATTATAATTTTATTTTCATTATAATTGTAATTTTGTTTTCTTACTAGACGTATTCTTAAATTAACTTTATTTTATCTGGAAATATTTTCTTAATGTAATAATTGCCGATTTAGATTTATATTCGAGTTTTAAAATGAAGGCAATTGAAATATCTACCACAGACAACTGAAATTATTTCACTCGCGTTTCATACAAATTAAGTGATTGAATGCTGGAGCTTAGTATGTTATTTTGCAATGGCCCCAATTTAGCAATGGTCCTCCATCAGAGCGAATTAGTTTTACCAATACCAAAATTTAATTGGTCTAACCCAAATAGCCCGAATTCTTACAAAAAAATTTATAGTTGATGTGCTTCAATAAAATACTATGAAACATAAATCTAATTATAATATTTTTATACACATTATATCGGTATTTAAAAGAATAAATATAAAAAATTATTTTTATAAAGCTCAAGTTTCACGAATTTAAAAATTATTAATGTAATTTAATTATCTCTTTAATCAATGAAATAATTTTCGAGTAATATGTAAATCGCATTTGAGCTTATATATTCAAATGATGTAATATACAAATATATATTTTTTGATAAACAAAATATATTTGTATTAGTGATTAATTAAGAAAAATTTCCATTACAATATAAAATAAACAAATATTATTTATTAAATATGTTTTTAATAATTTAATGAGTTTCTCCCTGTAGATAAATGACCAAATTTTAATATTTTGATATTATTGATGATTTTTTTACTTATACATTATATATATTATCTTTTTCATTAATAAATCTTATATCTTTGGTTTAAAATATTGAGTAATCAACCAATGACTCAATAAAGTTATAGTCATTCATTGGAAACAACGAATCGCAGTAAAAACAATTGATTTTTATCACAGTATTCGCTTTTCAACAGTGTCTCGAAAGAGTTTAAGAAAAAAATTTTTAAAAATCAGTAAGAAATAGATTTCTGTCTCTCTTGTATTCTTATTCGCTCAACCTCTCAATATTCTTATACGTGAATATTGAGATTGGCATACGTGAAACAATATTCTTATATGTGAATTTTTGCGTTCCCACGTCTATTTGCATAATCCCCGTCTAGCTGCGAAACGTTACAAGTATCCGTGCAAGTTGGAATCTCTTTCTTCCTCTCTTTTTTTGTTCTGCTATTCCTTCTCTTTTAAAAATCGAAGCGAAGCTTCAAAGTGACCAGCTATAACAACATACAATTCTCTATTGTCTGATGAAAACATAAATAATAATAGATATTCAGATAGAGCAGAAGAATGAGGAAGTGTGAGAGCAAGAGAAACTCAGCATTATTAGGTGCTACGGAAACAGTTTCTTTAGCTCATCGATCGATCGCGCTTTTTACTATATGCATGGAAACGCATGTGCCGATATGTATATACATCCCAATAAGGTTTCCGAAGTAATTACATACATAGGAAAGAATAATCAATATGAAAGACGGGAGAGAAACGCTTCTGCGATGGAGAAGTTTCTGAAAGGTATGAAAACGAAAGACTAACGAAAATAATTTATCAACAAACACGCTGAATTCAATTTATAACTTTGTAACTGGCTGGCCCCGACTGCTAGTGAGAAACGATATTCACTTGATTTATAAAGATAATGGACTTAAAGATAGAACGTGTGTTTTATGTATAATAAAATGTGTTATTTTGATAATAGTAAATATACGTTCATTGATCTTTAGATACATTTTCCCTATTCATATAACTAATGGATTGGATATATTTTAATATTCAGAATTCAATAGAACATTTGCATGAGTTTACAAATCATTGAGAATCGTCAATGTTATTCGTCAATATGATAATATAAAAAGCATCACTTAACTACAAATAGAGTAGATAAAACTTCATTTATGAATCATTATTTTATTATGAAGAAAGTAATCTAAGAATAGGGAATTAATATTACTCAAAGCAAGAGACTATGAGTCATATACCTCGGATTTTTTAAATTATATATTAAAAAAGTTCTTAATATACGCATAAAATTCATATAAAATGTGTATTTAATTTTATGAATTTAATTTACTGAAGTTTTGACATGTTTTATACAGAAATATCTATATAATTAGATCCATATACTGATTGAAATAAATTAAATATAAAAACAATAAAAATCTATATGCATTAAATATCCAAATATACAATTGTACTATTTTAAATGATGTTTATCAAAAGAAAATTTTAATTAAACAAAAACAATTGCTACCAAAATATATTTTATTATGTGAAGGAAAATTATGTTAGATAAAATATTTCATGGAAATATTTGTCGTAATCTTCACGATGATTGTTTTTAACATAAAATAATGTACATATATATAAATTAAATAAACTAAAAATTTTATAATCCCATCAATTATATAAAGTAATATATAATAATTCTAATTACAAAAACGATTATAAATAATATAAAATTATTTTATTATTTAATTTTTAAAGTTTCGGTTTATTGTATTTATTGTATGTAAATAAATATGTAAATACTAAAACGAACACCTTCTAAATATTATTGAATATTAAAAGTACTTACATATTTTACTATAAAACTACAGAAAAAATAAATATTGTAAATTAAAAAGTAATTCCTAATGAGTAAATAAAATTCAATACTATTTAAAAAAAACATATTGATAGAATTATTCAACTAAAATTTTGATTATTATAAATGATCGAAACATTTTAAATAAAAAGTGTGTATTCCCGCAAATCAATGCCTTAAAAAAATATGCAAGATTGTGTAAAGTTATTATTTTTCAATAACCTCATTGGCTTGATGAAGGTAATAGAGCAGAATTGAGACCGAGATATTTCACTTCCTACATCACCGACCATTTAAAGAAATGAATGATGCTCACAACCGAACATTACCAATTAATACATGAGAAAAGTGAAGATGCTGTGCAACGAACTTCAAAAAACTCACCGATTCGACGTTCGGGTAAATTGAGCGTTGTAGCGCGTAGATTGACAGACTCACTGCGTCCTTTGGCATTACTTGAATAGATAGTAAGCAAATAGGTGGAACCAGGCTCCAAGATGCTGACACCAAAACTCGGCGATTTACTTGTCAGGTTGTAGACGAGTGCACCTATGGACTTGGAGGAGCTTGGGCTCGATACGAGCTCCACCAGTAGCGTGAACTTCTGGGGCAGACCGCCGTCAAAACTTTCGAAGCATTCAGTTCGCAATGTATCCGTCGTTGTATTTTGAATGGTGCAGTTATATGGTGCATCTGGTCGACCTATATAAATAGGACAAGATATTTGTCACTTGTACACTTTGGCCGTTCATAACTTGAGACGCATTCAGATTAAGGGTGTTAGAAAATATTTTTATTTACGAATTTCTTTTGGTATTTCTTTATTAAATTTTATAAGAATTTATTTATTTTACGAAATTTTCGTTTTTTAAGATAGTCTTGCTGGAATTAATTCTTGTCTATATGTTGAATTCAATGAAAATCAAATAATGAAAAATATAACAATATTCTTTTATAATATTAAAAATCAATATATTATTACTAGGCTTTCAAAACTTTTATACTTACTATTATAGTTATAGGAAATACACAAACTATTAACTTAGAAATAATTTTTTTTTAAGTATTTTGTAATATAATATTATTATTTCATTAACTTTATAAAATAATACAATGAAATATATAATTGTTATATCAATAAAGTTTTATATTTAAATAAATATAATATTTTGTTCGAAAGTTGAAAAATAATGAAACACATAATGGTACAAGGATTCATTAAATAAAATTAGTAAAATATATTTATAAATATTAATATAAAAATAAAAATATTATTGAACTTTTATTCATATTATTTTTCTTTTTAAAATACGCATATAGAAAAAATTATAAAAATATACATTATATATTATAAAATCTTAATTTTTATAATATTTAAATTTATAATATTTAAAAAGAATAATTATTATCTCCCAAACTCTTGTTTTGTATTTCGGTTACATTTATTCATTTTTTTTTATTAAAATTCTAAACATCCAGCTAATTTTTATTTAAGTAAAAAAAATACGATAATAAAAATTCGAAGAAATACTCGATTATTATAAATAAAAACAAACCTATATGAAGTCAAATAAGAATCTTTATATTTCAATAGATTGACTAAAAAAAAAAAATGAAAAGAAATCTGTTTACTCACCAGCTGGTACAATGTGGAAGATACACGGTTCAGTTTGACTTCCTAGCTCGTTCGCACCCAAACAGAGTAAAGTACCATAATCCAGTTCAGTTGTAGGCGTATATGAAACGACTGAGTGGGTGTTTTCACTACTTATGTGCTCATTGAATATGTCCATAGTTTCCATGGTATTGTTAAATTTCCAGGTAAAAACAACATTACGAGGATTTGCTTCGAGTTCACAGGGTATCCTGATATTTTCCTGTCGCGCGACTCCAAATACTTTCGTCTGACCGGGCCGACAAACAGGCGTGACTGTACACGTGCACAGAATTAATAGATCAAATAAATACCCTTGTTTAGTTCATTTGATGAATATTTTTTATAAAATTTTCATGATTTTATTTAAATATAAAGGTCATTTAATGAAATTGAACAATTTACATTTAATTTTGTAAACGAATAAATAAGAGAAATAAAAATCCAAAGATGAATAAATTAATTAAGGAAAACGAATATATTAATTAAATTAGTAAAATATCTTTTAAATTAAATTTATTCATTTTATATTTTATATTCAATATTCATTTTTACTATTAAATTGCTACATTTAAAAAAATTTTGTTTATTTTATACTGACATATTATATTACTTTCTTTTATCGTTTCAATACTTTGATATTCTCTGTAGATGTAAACGTTATTACTGTGTTAACGAATTACTTCATTTTTATATTTTTCTAGTCCTGTATAATTTTTCTTTATTTATAAAACTTTACTTTATATAAAAAATAGTAATTAGAAAGCAAATTAGTACAATTTATTAAATATATACTAATATGTCAGATATTAAAAAAATATATATATGAAAAATATGTTTCATTTTGTTATCTTCTTCAATATTCATAACTTTTATTGTAGAAAATGTATTATGAAAATATTTATTCTAATTTTAAATTATTTAATTTTTAGTGTAAGAATATTAATTCAAAAAATAAATTGCATATTTTTATATTAAGAGAATTTAAATTCAAATGAAAACATTCATAATATTTTATAGACTAAAACTATAATTAAAACAAAAACGTTATATTTTAAATATGTTAAGATAAAAGTAAATATTTTTAAATGATATCGCCCATAATATTTTGTTAATCGAAAATAAATTCTTTTATATTTATTATATTGTTGAAGATATTGAAATAGAATAAGAGAATTTTCATAAATAAATTATAAATATTACAAAAAAAGTAATTTAGGACAATTAAATAATTCAAAATCATTTTGCAGTTTATCCTATTACACCATATAGTCTTCATTTAAAAGATGATAGTTTTTTGTTCTTTAAAGTAGTATACGAGAATAGTAGTCGAAGGTAATGTTTTCAAGTATTCTAAGTTTACAGACCGCCTTGTCAAGTTGCATTCGCTCGTGAATATATCTCGAAATACTTATAATGAGTAACTAATGAAAAATCCAATAAGCAAAAAGTTTTTCAGCATGGAAAATATTTAATTAATAATTTTGCTCAAATATATTTCAGGAAATATTTAATCCCGCTGGTATGCTCACACAAATCAAAATTCATAAGTACTTGTACATGTAGGTTTATTAGAGTTAATATAAAATGTTAGAAATTCCAGAAAGTTTATAGTTCCGATTTTGGTAGTGCTTACGTAAATAGGGTATATCCTGAAAACTAAAAAAATATAAATAATATCACGAAATAAAATGAAGCCATACATAAATGAGGATTCTCATTTTAAACAAATACAACTATTTCACCTATACATATAATGTGCCAATCTAAATGTTAAAAACTTTAAACATAAATTCAAATGTTTTAAAATAAATTTTATTAAAATTTTAATAAATTATTAAATTATATACTCTTTTTATTATATTTTAAAAATTATTTAATCTTTGTAAAAAAAAATTACCTTCTATCATAAAAGTAATTATGTTAGTTATGTTAATTATGTTAGTGAATTGGAAGATTATCTCTATTTTTTAGATATTCATAAATAATTATAAATTAAGTAAAATAAAATTTCATTAATTTTAATTTGTTATAATATCTATGAATTCAGAAAAATTTATACTAATTTATTTTATTTAAAAAAAATATTATTTTTATTATAATCATTACAAAATTCTTTTATAATTATATATTTTATATTTATAAATATTGCACTGTGTTATATATATTAGTGATATAATTAAATACAGAAAAAATTATTTTTATTGAAATAAAACTTATAAAGTCACAGTTATTGGAAATAAAAAATGAATCAATAGTTTAAAAGATAATATTCAAAAATATAAATGATTAAAATAGAATTCCAGCAGCTTAGTATGACTGTTCTAAATAATGTTACGAACTTCAATATTAATAAAATTTATTAAAATAAAACTAAGCATTGAATATATAAATGTATTTTCATAATTGTAAAAAATGTAATGTTGCAATAAATTTTATTTTTAAGATTACAAAGAATTTAAGTATAATCCGTATAGAAAGAAAAGGAAATATTCACATGTCGAAACAGAAATTTACTTTTGAAGAAAATTCAACTTGTTCATCTATGAAATACTTTATCGTGTGGTAAAAAGGTGGGAAGAGATTTTGGGATCGTACATTGTGGCAGCAAAGTTTAGTTTCAATATCCATACAGTCGCTACTGCTGGCAAGTTTTCAACGTGATATATTCAATGGATAAGCCTGTTACTTGCTGTTCGTTTATTTGCTCGCCCATATGAATTCTACAACTCACATTTTATGTCCAAATTCAGTTGATTGCTCTCTCCGTCGCCCTCTTGATTGCTGCCAATGCAAGTGTAAGTGCCGGCTCTGTTTCGCGACACGTTTTGCAGCACGAGACTCTGATTGCTGACTATCGTGCCACTGGCTACGCTGTGATACAGCGGATTTCCCTATGATGTTAATGTTTCAAATTGTTAGATTGATATATGAAACAAACAATCCCCGAAAAAAGATTACTTACTAACAAAGCTTTAATTTTATGTGACAGTTAGTGAGATGGTGACGTAATTTGAAAATCAAAATTCAATAAAACTTCAAAAGAATTTCTGTGTAATTGAGTAGGAAAATTTAAACTAAGAATATTTTTAGGTGTTTAATAATTCATATTCATGAATGAAATTGTAAAATATTATTCGAGTTTATAATTGTTGGTAGTTTAAATATATATATATATATATATATATATATATATATTATATATATACTGTTTTTGATAAGATTTAACAATATTTTTATTTATTAAATACATGAAATTTAATCTTGAACTGCTGAAGTATAATTTATGCTGAAGTAAAATATTAAACCTTCTATGTGAGTATATTCTTCGTGGAAATACTTATATGATTGAGAAAAAATAGTTTTAAATATTTGAGTTCCATTTTTATAAAGTTAGAAATATATATAATTGATTAAATAGTTCCTTGTACTACGTTAAAATATCTATATTATAAGTATTCATTCATGATTTAAAATGATGAACACTAATTAATGCAAATGTAAAAAAGGATATATATTTAATATTAATAAAATTAAATATTATACTATTATAGTTAATTTTATTTATCCTTATTTATACATTTTATATTAATTTGTAAAACTTTAACTTGATTTTAACTTGAAAATAAATATTTCTGGTGGAATCACTCAATATAAATTAACTATGAAGAAACAACTTTAATCATAGTACACATTACCATATTTACATAATAATAAGATAAGATTTAAATTATATTTTAAATTGTTTTATAAAAATGCATTAATGATAAAAATAAGATTTATATCATTAGATTTTTTTATAGTAATAGGTAGAAGAATATTTCCATAATAATAGAGATATTACTAATCATAATTAATGTTAATTCTAATATATGTTATAATTATAGTATAACAACAATTATTAATTTTTATAAATTAAATTATTGTAAAAAATTTAGCGAAATTGCTAACGAATAACGAATACATGTTTTAAAATTCATCTGATGTTAGATATATTTTTTCCATGACAAATATTTGTATAGTATAGCAATCACATATTTTATATTTATCACTATATTCGTAACAGCAATTTATTAAGTTCTGAAATTAATAGTATTCAAGAAAATAAACTAAATATCTACAAGGCGAGTAAACATTTAAATTTATATTTGCGATATATTGCAATCATTTATATTTATTATATATCCTTATATTAATTTTCAAAATGTTCTCAAATTATTGACTTAGCTGGATTTAAAAATAAAAATTAATATTGTTTTACGGGATCAAGATTTAAGATCAAATAAAAGCATTCATTATACTTAAATCCTTATATCTATGATACAAATTTGATCCTTTTATTTAATTACATTTACGAAATTAGATTATTGACCGTGAAAAACAAGGGTTATGCCAGTTAGAATATGATATGCAACCTCTCGCAAGATGACAGTAACAGTGCTGTAATGTGATACTTACATTGTGTTTCCAAGAGACTTTGTAGACCCAGGGATTCGATTTAATGTTGCACTCGAAGTAGACGTCGAGGCCCTCACGAATAGCACTCGCATTCAAGTTACTGCCAAGCTCTAACGTGATTACCGGTTCGTCTGTAATGATTACCAACTAAGTGTGAGACTGTCCACACCAAGGAGAGGGAAACTCGCATGCGATTCCGGAACCATAAAATCAGTAAAGCTAGAGAAATGTTAGGACTTCCGCTTTCTCGGCCGGAAAGAGAATTAATGTAAGGTTAATGCATTTTGATTGAAAAAGTGTAAATTAAAATATGTAACAAATTATCAATGAGAGCAAAATTAATTAACTTACTCGATGCGTTAAATTAATTAAATTATTTATAAAATACTGGATTTGTGTTAAATATTTAATTTTATACTATGATTTGATTCTAATAAACTATTAACTTATTAATATATAAATTTGGTTTCATTATTACAACTAATTAAATACAACTATATTCCCTCATCAGCCTCATGTATAAAACGTAATGTTATCTACAAAGCTTAAATTATTTTTAAATTACGTATTATATAAAATAAAAATATTCATTAATTTATAAAATTATCCAAAATGATTCGATAATATATATTATACTTAAAAAATAATTGTTTATTAAAATAAAATATTTTTAAGACCAAGTCTTAAATAAGCAATACAATAAAAATAAATAAATATTTTAGATAATTCTTATTATAAATTTTCGTTAAAATAACCATTCCTGTAATATTTAACTTTATCAATATATGATATTATAATATAAATAATGTAAGCATTGTACATTTCTTATAAAACTTAAAAAAAAAATTTATTGTATTTATATATTATTTTGAATACTGAAAATCATTTATTTATTTTAAAACATCTAGAACTAAAATCTTTTATGATATTATTAGAAACTTGTTTTTGTTATACATAAACTCTACTTAATCTATAAATAAATGTCTGCTAATAAGAATAAATTAAAGAATATATAATAAATGAGATCATAACAAACATAGAATCGTGCAAGGAATTAATAAATTATATATATATATATATATATATATATATATATATAGCAAATACGGTAAATAATTGATACATATTAAATTTACACGAAAGTTTAGACGTTACTAACTTGAAATATCACCGTCTTTGATATTCTATACCTTTATCAATCTTTCTCTCTCTCTCTCTCTCTCTCTCTGCCTCAGTCACAAACACACCTATATCCAAATATATGTACACACTCTCCATCTTTTTCATTCTAAATAATACAAACTGGTTCTATTACTCTATTTTTCATTTTTTCTTTTGTCTTTTTACATTTTTTATTAATTTTGCAAAAACATTATGAAAATTCCATGTTCGAATTTGCATGACAGTCACAACATAAATTATTGAACATCCTACTCCCACCTATCCTAGACAATTCAACGGCTGATACGATACAACGAGGTTAGTCTAGGAAGTACTTACGATGTATATCCAGCTTCCATCCGTCCTCCATTTCAGAATCTGGGATTACAGGGATACTGCCACGGCAGGAAAGAAACTTGCCAGCGTCTTCAATACTTGGAACAAAGGTGAGGATACTTGTTGTCGTATTGCCATCTGGGCTAATCTGCATCAAGAGTTGATTTTCTTTTAAATAATCTTTTAAAAACATGGAATAAAATTCCATGAATGGTAAGATACTCTTACTAAAACTACTGATTAATATTCAAATTAGTACAGAATTTTAATAGTAATAAAAGATATAAATAATTTATGCATAGCTTTTTTTTATTAGTTCACTTACCTAAAATGTATGGAATATTAAAATAATTACAGTAAATTTATTGTTTTGAGTTCAACTATAAGATATTTGTTATATAATTAATTAACCATTATAAATTCGTTACTATTAATCAAATTTGTACATAATAAGAAATAAATCAATTTTTGTTTAGAATGAATTTAATGTTAAAAACTTAAAAAACTTGATCGAAATAAGCTTCATATTTAGATTTCGTGAGAAAAATTATAATAGTTCAAATAATATAAATATAGTAAATATCAAAATCTTATTAAATTTAAATAATATTTAGAATAATGATTTCTCATGAAAATAATGACAATAATATTATAATTAAAGTTTCTTTAAATTAAAAAAATATATAAGAACTTTATTATTAGTAAAACAAAATAATAAATATAAAACATAATAAAATATAATAAAATACAAAATATAAAATTGAACAAAACAGGAACAATAATTCAGTTTGATTTTACAACTAAAACAAAAGAGAAGTAATTTGAATTTTGCAAAATATTATTTATATTCAGCTAAATAATAAGAGCAACAGCAATATTATATATTAGTTTGGTATTTCATTAAATTTTACATTTTAATTATTGACATTAATATTATCGCTTACATTTAATTGACCTAAACAGTTATAGTTTTATTAATTTAAATATTAAATACTTATTTGTAGCAAATATCTTCTTTTTTCTGGCATAATAAAAAATTATTTCAATTCAATTTATTGTAGCCAATAGTTTGATATAAGAAAATTTGAAAGAATAAATAGATAGACACTATAAAGATAGACAGATAAAGATTTTTTACTATAGAGATATATATCCAACAATAATCCATAATAATGTGAAAAAATAATCAATACAATAATTAATATTGAAAATATTAAATTTCAAGTGATAAAATTATAACATGCAATTTAATGTCGAAAGTTAACCATAAAAAATGGGAATACTCAGGAAAAAAATTAGCTATTCTTAACAATGTACTTTTTTTCATGCCACATTTACAACCAATTTAGTAGCTATATAGATAGTGGTTAATCGAAAAATCTTTTGAGGCAAACAGTTTTCGGCTTCATGACTCCTTTAGGTCCCATGTGACTAAACTTTGGAGAAATTATCTCACAATGTAGCCAAGAAATAGAAATTTTCATTTGGGGACCTATTAATCTGAACGCGATTTGCGAAAATCAAGAGAACATAATCCTGCTACACAACCCAATTAGATGTACGCACGATGTAACTTTGTCTTAATGGTCGTTCATGGTGGAAGCAACGCAATTGCCAAATTATCAGACACATAGTTTAAGAGTTTCAATCAACTGTACACTATAATTTTCAACAATACATATATATATTATCGATAAAAATCATAAAAATCATATACTATTGAGTAGTCGATTATGTACTTTTCTTTAATATTATATATTACTGCAACAATACATATGTTAATAAAAACAGTCGATTATATATATGATGTAAGATAATATCATATTTTTACATACAATTTATGATTACTATTAAATAATAACATTGTATAAATTTAATTCATATTAAAGCAAATAATTTAAATAAACACAAAACATATTTTGTACGAATGAACACATTTATAAAAAAATTCTTTTATTTAACTGAATTTTAATATATTTATTACTTTAATTAGTTTACTGTTTTGATTATTTTCCTAATGTGAAAAGAATTTTATCTTTATTATTGATAAATATATATAGTAAAATTTATAGTTACTCATATTATATAATTTAAAGAAATGTTGTTCTTGAAAATATTTATTTTAATCAGTGTCCATGAATTTTAAAACTAGGTCAGTAAATAAGTCTATATGTATAGTTTATTATTTACGTAAATTATATCCATAAATTAGCTAATTTGAACAATAATATTATAGAAGAATATCAAATGCAGAATATCGAATTCGTGTACAATAGTATATATTATACAATGTATATAGTAATATTACAATATATATATATATATATATAAAATATTTAAAATACAAGAATATCAAAATAGTTAATATAATACACGTTATTTTTAAGAAAGAAAGTCCTTATAATAATAAATGTAATAAGGTGTATACGATAAAAAATAATATGAATAATAAATAATAGTAAATAATGATAAAATAAATGCATTTCTTAATTGTTCTTTAATTGAAATAAATATATATTAATAGAAAAATAAGAATAAAGGAAATACAAAATAAATAATAATAAATAAGAATATAATTATAATAATAATATATAATATAAATTTCTTGACTTTAGTATATTTTATTATCAACTATATACAGTAAAAACTACCATATCTGAAGAAAGGTATTACCTTGATTAGTAAAATTCTTTTTAATTCCATGTAAATTGCATAAATTTTTTAATTTAGTATCTAATTTACTATCTGATTTATTATCTAATTTATTTGACTATTAATTATTATTATATATAATAATATAAATAATATAAATATAATATAAACAATTTACTATCTAATAAATTAATTTTTTAATTAAAATTATTTTATTGTTGAATGATTACAATCATTATTATATTATTATAATCTAGAAAGTATTAATTTTAGTTTAATCTATTTTTAAAAAGAATGTAATTTAACAATAAATACTAATAAAATATTTTGTAATAAACTATAAATCCAGCCTTTTTTTATTTTTATTTATCGAAATACTTAATTATTAATAAAGGAAAGAATGTATAATAGAATGTGTACAATTTGTAGAAAGATTGCTGCCACAGCTATCAGAAGGAAAACAAAACGGCCATAAATCATATAAGAGCTCTCTTGCATAATCGCGAAATTCTAGTAGTAAGGCTGTAAGAAATTGAAGCTTCTGGCGTAGATAGCTCACACTCTTCTTAGTTCTCCTGGCGAATATTTTGATCGACGTCCGCTTACTTACACAGACACATGATACTACTCACCGTCTGGCGAACATTTCGAAGAGCAACCCCTCCTTTCGTCCATTCTATCGTTGGCGTCGGCTTGGCTCCGACGATCTCGCATCCTATTTCGTAAGTCGTTTCTGCGCTCAATGGGCGATTCTCCCCTTGAAGTCGTACCCACAACGGCCTCACTATAAAATATAATGTATTTACTTTTTCTGGCTAACAACAATGGGGCGGAAATTTTCATTTCATATCTTTTCTTTCTCTCGTCTTTTATACCACCTCTCTCTCTCTCTCTCTCTTTCTCTCTCATAGAATAATGCCATGAACAAATATTTTATGCAGTTGCAATCATTTGAATATTTGTAATTATATATTTTTTTATCTTATACGATTTAGTATGCACCGAATAAACTGAAACAGCAAAATGTAGAAAATAATTTTTTTTCCCTGATGTCTATAATAAAACTATAGTTCTTAGAATAAAGTAAATATTGGAATATATTCATTTTATTAAGGGTTCTTTTATTATTGAATTATTGAATCATAGATATTAATATTAACAATTTTCTAATATCAAATATATTAAATTTAATTACATTGGCTTATATTAATATATTATTCAAGATTCACATTTATAAACGCATAATAACTCGTTTAATTAAAATAATATAATGTAAAAAAAATACTCTAGTAATTATATTATACTTTAGATTATATTGATGATTTATAGCAAACTATAAATAAAGTTGAGTAAAATAATTATTTTTTAATTATTTTAATAAAATTGATTTTGTCACACCATTTTTAACTCTAAAGATAAATATAATATAAGAATATAAATCTAGAGTTTTCAAAATTATTAGCCAGTTAAAAGTTGTACAGTTTTATTATTTATTATTTATTATTCCCTATAGATTTATATAATCAAATTAAATTTTTACAATAAAAAATCTAAAACTTTTAAAAATTATTGATATAAACTATACTATTCAATTCATCAGCATTTAATTTTATTAAACATATTTTTAGAAATAGAAAATACATATATTACTGATATTCTGCATTTAAATTAAAGTAAAATGAACTATTAAAAACACTTTCAAATATTCGAAGAGTAAAATAAGTTTTCGTGTAAAATTATATTTAAATTTAAATTTAGATTTAAAATAATATTTAAAGTTATTGAAAAGTGAACAAAATTATTAATGAAAAGATTTATTGTTGTAAGAAGTATAGTATTAAATATACTCTTATTTTAAAATCAAGGAGTATCAATTTTATGTAATGAACGTAAAATTGAAAAATTGATTAATTATGTTAATATAAGCTCTAAAATATTTAGTACACATGTTATATCATCCAGAATTATGCTAAAACTAGAACAAGAACATCATGTAACTGCATAAAAATTTTCCTCTCATTAGGAGTAGTAAGATTACTGTGTCATTCATCTCCCAAAGATCTTATGGCAATCTTTAAAAAAAAATGTAAATATTAATTATACTTACAGTTCATGTCGAGAGATACAGAGCTGGATATTGGTGCAACTATATTGTTATTTGAGGCCTGACAAGTCAATATCGTATGCAGATGCTTGCGTTCGAGTTTTTCCAGTCGAAGGACATTTCTCACTTTCCTAATGCCGACTACTTCGTAACTGTCGTCAAGTAAAGCATTCTCTTGCCACCAAGTTACCCGAGGCTGTGGACGTCCTATTAATTGCCAATACAATGTATAAATATTTAAATAATATTTCTAACAATCCAATATTTACGAGTAAGAAAATGTATATTATAATAGATTATATTTCAGATTTGATAATTTATTTCTCGATAATATAAAAATAGCCTAAATGAATTAATAATATTCTACTTAAAAAAATGTATGAATGGTGGTTAAAATTCAAATTGAATTTTTCCAAAAATTTAACACATATAAAGAATAAAAGGAAAGGAAAAGTATTAAATAATTAAATTCTAAATAAATGTTATATATGTGTTATATAGAAATTTATACATACGATGTGAATAAATATTCATATTCAGGTTATAGAATCTCTACAAATTATTTAATTAATCAATACAATCAAAAGTAGTATTATGATATATTACAAATTATTAAATACTATTATAGATTTGCATTAAATCATAGAATCATATAATATGTAAAAAAATATTTACTGTTCTCTAACGTGCTTTATACTTATATCTTATAAAAATTAAAAATAGAAAAATATGTACAAGTTAATATTTAATATTTTTAGTAAGTTTTTAATCTAATAGTATCCAATTTCTTTTTTACACAATATGTATTAAAAATGATTTATTAAAGCCTATCTTCAAATATAAAATAATTTATCTCATCTATTAACATATTTTTATTTTATTAGTTTACATAATTTAATTAATTTTTTAATTGCTTTAATTACTTAAATTTGTTATTAGGAAAACTTTTACAACTTTTAAAAATTTTTTTCAATTTTTTAATATTCACATTCAATACCAAAATGTTATTAATATACTATGATTCATTGATTATATCTGTCGATTAAAAAAATAATGATTTGTTCACTTTATTAATCTATTATTATCAATTCAAAAATAAGAGAACATTTAACATATGAGATATACTTTTGCATAAATAATAATGTTCGTTAATCTCTTGATTATTGACAACCAAAAATAATTTGGAACTTTTAAAAATTTATAATTTAATAAATCGAAATTTCGATAAAGGTCGAAAATATTGAAATTTAGAAAAAACAATTTTTGTATTAACTTAGAGCATATGCATTTCCATCAGTATGTATATAATATTAGATTTTATTTTAATTTTACTATAAATTTTAATTGTACCATAATTCTATTACAAATTATAATTTGTAGTATATTTATTATTATATCCTAATTTTACTAAAAATTATATTGTCATAGCTCAGATCTTTCAACATACTCAATTTTGATTGAATTATTTTAACATAACTTCATCATCAATTAAAACAATAATTTTAATAAATAAAAAAACGAGAAAAGTATCGAAAGTATCTTGAAATTATTATAGTAAAATTTAAGTTATCCAAAGACAGCCACAGTTGATGTCATCACCTTTTATCTCTCATATTATATTCTGACAAAAATTCAAATAGAACTTACAATATTTAGCTACATTAATAATAAATGATTAATCAAAATAGAAAATAAAAGAACTACGCACAATATAATTTAATGATGCTGTATATATGGCAACCTTGGATATGACTATGCTAGCTGCGAATGCAAAATATATAACTATCAATAAAGTATTTCAATATAGTAGTTTCTGAGTACAGTAAAATTAATTATTTTTAATAAATTGTTCTTTTTTAATCACCAATGTATATATAGTAATGTAATTATCAAAAATGAAAAGTTAATTTTCTTATTACTAAGAAAAAAATCAAGAATTTTATCCTAAATAAGTATTAAATATAAATGACAAACGTATATCTTATTTTTATTTCATGTAATAGCATACTATTGACTATTTTAAAATTATTAATAAGTTTTAGTTCTATTACATAAAGTAATTATAAATGTCAACATTTTTTCACATAAAGTGATTAAAATTTTTAAATGTCATAGTTTTCTTTGATAAATCAGTTATTTTCTAATATTTGTGTAGGTCCTTGTAAGTTTTTAAAATTATCAATTTGAGTTTCTTATACTATACTTGTCTAGGATTAGACTAAAAAACTCCCAATGATGGTCGGTGAGGAATGTTATTTTTCGATTACAATTCGGATCACAGTGACGTCTTAGTGCTTGAATTCAGAGAACAGACCCGAAAACAGCGATGTTTAATACAGAAGTTCCAATACAGACGGTTTCAGGCAGAAGGTTCGATAGAAGGTTAAATGTCTTAACCACTTATGTGGTTAATGCGTAGGTGGTGCGCTTCATATTTAATAATTACTCGTGAAATACAATCAGCACTCTTGACTGCTTAACTGTGGCGCACTTAAATTAGATATAAATTATTTGGCTTCACTTTTGGCTTACGATCTTATTATTGCTGAATCTGGCCGAAGTATGTTTGTATATTAGTAAAACTGATTAACTGGTATATGGCGAAGTTTCGTGGCAGAGTTATGAGTAACTGATAACTGGTTGATACTGTGAGCAATAACTTGTGTAATAATAATAATAAGTGAATGATTGGTAAAAATACACTGAACACAGGAGCGTGGTGAGGTGCTCTTAAATATTCTATGCCGAAAGTTTTGATGACATCGGAAATTAAGCTTTAGAATATTCAAGAAGTCCAGAAGGACACTGCCTTGGAAGGTTCGAGAATTTTCAATGGACGTTGCTATGCGGAAATATTGTAGGAAACTAGAAAACAAGACATAGACTATTCAAGAATTCACAGAATCAATGCTTACAAACATAATCATCAGAAAGCTTGTCCTTTTCCCGTTTGTAAATTTTTGAAAATTGCTCCAATCCCGAACAATACTCAATACTATTATGTTGTTTCAAATGTATGAAATAGATATATTCTGAAATCAGTCTATTTTTAATACCAATAATTCTTGTAGTTCATAAAATGTAATGTTTAAGATTCATTACAATTATTTTAATTTTGATTATATAGGTTAAAAATAGAATTCGTTAAACATTTGTTATTGAATACAAACTACTACGTCTAACATGTTATTGACTTAAACTTCTTATTTTATTTAAATGTGCTCCTTTATGTTTATATTTATTGGATGAATTTTATTTGATGAAGAAAAAACTGAAATTTATTATTAATAAAAAAGACTATAATTCAAGACAAGAATGTATTTTTCAACTTACAGATATTAAAGGTTAATTTTAAAATTAAAGATCTGTCGTTAATAACATTAAAGAACTCCAAAATAAATTTATTCCAGAACTATCTATCTTGAAATAATTCATCAAGCAAAGCTTAAAATTTCAGAGAAATATTTACATTTTATAAAGCGAGGAGGAAAAACTGAAAATCATTACTCATGGGATCATATTAAAGCCTGAATCTTTCATTACACAAAAACAGTAACACTCTCGTCTAGGTAAAAGCTAGTGCGACTGTCACGAATAACGTTAATTATACTTTATTGCGTTTTCTTTTGATTAGTGATTTAGCTATATTATACTTAATTGAAAAATAAAAAAGGAAAATAGAATGTTGTAAGTTTTCAACCAAGCAAATTACATGCTATAAAATAGGCAAGGTTCTAACGAAGCTTAAAATTATTTGTACATATAAAAACGAATGTCTTGATGAAGCACAAGAGTCCAACCTTCGTTAATGACGATAATAGATGATTTACTATATTGTTAAATAAAAACATGAAGGATTACGTAAGCTCCTCAATAAACGGCAGTTCTCTGATTCACACTCATTTGCAACATGAACTGTATTTAAGATGCGAAATGCGCGATTCATTGGCGGTTGCTCGTTCTCCTCGGTTAAGCTCAATAAGTTAAGTATTATGTAAATACTACTTTTTTTACATTTTTAGAGAGCAACGGAAGCGAAAAAGTTGATGAAAGATATAAGCAAGAAACGGGAGAGAAACAAAGGAAAGAAGAGAATGAATGAGCGAGCAACAAGTAAAAGTTGCGTCCTATTATACAAAATGCAAATTAGGTTTGTGAAATTTAAGTCTAACTGATGTGACGTTGACGAAAAAATTTTTTCCCTCATGAAAATTTTTTATTAAATCGAGTTTTTTGCATTCATTTTTCAACTTGTACATAGAAGAGCTAAATCGTTTATTTTTCTCTATTGCCACTTCACGCCTGCATAATTCGGCTCAAATAGAATGTTCGTTTATTTATATAAATAATATGCTTAACAGTTATGAGCTAAATGTTATTATTTCTAAAATATCATAAAGACAGCGTTATCAGAGTGAAAATTTTCTCTAAATGTACCTCTTTTCTTTACTTTACTTTTAAACTATTTATTAAGTACAGATTTTCATGACAAATTATATTTGACTTGAGAACATACGGAAGGTTATCGGGAAACTACACGAATACGATCTTGATTTCCCATTCACTTTTTCTCCGAAATTATATAAAGGAAAAGAATTTCATGCTCTTTCTATTTGGAATAAAGTCAATCGATTTAAGATTCCTGACTTAAGTTTTTTTTTTAATTCCTTGTTAAGTATGCATATATGGTCAGTATCTCCAACGATAGATATGAGCATTAAACTTTATTATTTTTCTTTTCCTAAAATAATTCACATAGAGTTTACTTTTACATATTCATAGTACAAATGCAGCTGCTTTAATATGATAACAATGAGCAAGCCTAATTTTTTAATTCAGATTATATACATAAATTGTTGTAAATTGATTTTATGATATTGTCTTCACCAATGGTTTATACTGAACAGTATTTTTAATTATTTACAAATATCATTTAGAAAAACCATCTTGAACTGTTTTTACTATTGCAAAAATGAATAGCAATTGTACATGGTTACAAATAACTACTATAAAATAAATTCATAATAAATTTTTCAAAATAATTTTCAAAATAAAATTTCAAAATAATTTTTAATCTACTCCATACTAAATAACTCGAAATATTTTTCAGATACATAATACGTAGTGTAAATGTAAAAAATGAAAATAGAATTTTATTTTTACAAAATAATTCTCATGAAGCTATAAATTTTATAAACACACCCACCACAAAGTATTCTTATAAATATTTTTAAATTATGAGATAATTCCACAGATCCAAATATAATAAATATATGATTATATTAGATTTTTTATGTATTGAAAGTACAATATTATAATAGTTTCATGTATAAATCACTTAATCAATTATATACATTAAATGTCATATTAATAATAAGATTTCATATTATATTAAACAAATTATTCTTTAGAATAAATAGATACAAAGATCATTATTTTTATATTTCATTTTTTATTAAAATTATTATTTTTTAAATTTTTATTTTATAAGTGAATGTTCGGAAATTAATTCCACAATTCAACTCGTCAGCCCTTGTGAGCGAAAGGGTTTGAATGCTAGTGTGAATTTTACGATATCGCTTGCCAGATGTTTTATGACACTAGTACAAATAATTGTGAGCGAAAGGGTTTGAATGCTAGTGTGAATTTTACGATATCGCTTGCCAGATGTTTTATGACACTAGTACAAATAATTGTGAGCGAAAGGGTTTGAATGCTAGTGTGAATTTTACGATATCGCTTGCCAGATGTTTTATGACACTAGTACAAATAATTGTGAGCGAAAGGGTTTGAATGCTAGTGTGAATTTTACGATATCGCTTGCCAGATGTTTTATGACACTAGTACAAATAATTGTGAGCGAAAGGGTTTGAATGCTAGTGTGAATTTTACGATATCGCTTGCCAGATGTTTTATGACACTAGTACAAATAATTGTGAGCGAAAGGGTTTGAATGCTAGTGTGAATTTTACGATATCGCTTGCCAGATGTTTTATGACACTAGTACAAATAATTGTGAGCGAAAGGGTTTGAATGCTAGTGTGAATTTTACGATATCGCTTGCCAGATGTTTTATGACACTAGTACAAATAATTGTGAGCGAAAGGGTTTGAATGCTAGTGTGAATTTTACGATATCGCTTGCCAGATGTTTTATGACACTAGTACAAATAATTGTGAGCGAAAGGGTTTGAATGCTAGTGTGAATTTTACGATATCGCTTGCCAGATGTTTTATGACACTAGTACAAATAATTGTGAGCGAAAGGGTTTGAATGCTAGTGTGAATTTTACGATATCGCTTGCCAGATGTTTTATGACACTAGTACAAATAATTGTGAGCGAAAGGGTTTGAATGCTAGTGTGAATTTTACGATATCGCTTGCCAGATGTTTTATGACACTAGTACAAATAATTGTGAGCGAAAGGGTTTGAATGCTAGTGTGAATTTTACGATATCGCTTGCCAGATGTTTTATGACACTAGTACAAATAATTGTGAGCGAAAGGGTTTGAATGCTAGTGTGAATTTTACGATATCGCTTGCCAGATGTTTTATGACACTAGTACAAATAATTGTGAGCGAAAGGGTTTGAATGCTAGTGTGAATTTTACGATATCGCTTGCCAGATGTTTTATGACACTAGTACAAATAATTGTGAGCGAAAGGGTTTGAATGCTAGTGTGAATTTTACGATATCGCTTGCCAGATGTTTTATGACACTAGTACAAATAATTGTGAGCGAAAGGGTTTGAATGCTAGTGTGAATTTTACGATATCGCTTGCCAGATGTTTTATGACACTAGTACAAATAATTGTGAGCGAAAGGGTTTGAATGCTAGTGTGAATTTTACGATATCGCTTGCCAGATGTTTTATGACACTAGTACAAATAATTGTGAGCGAAAGGGTTTGAATGCTAGTGTGAATTTTACGATATCGCTTGCCAGATGTTTTATGACACTAGTACAAATAATTGTGAGCGAAAGGGTTTGAATGCTAGTGTGAATTTTACGATATCGCTTGCCAGATGTTTTATGACACTAGTACAAATAATTGTGAGCGAAAGGGTTTGAATGCTAGTGTGAATTTTACGATATCGCTTGCCAGATGTTTTATGACACTAGTACAAATAATTGTGAGCGAAAGGGTTTGAATGCTAGTGTGAATTTTACGATATCGCTTGCCAGATGTTTTATGACACTAGTACAAATAATTGTGAGCGAAAGGGTTTGAATGCTAGTGTGAATTTTACGATATCGCTTGCCAGATGTTTTATTGCATTTTACTTTCTCGCATTCTCAAACAGTGAAATTAAGAATATATTTAAAATGATTATATTTCTTTTTTTTAATATTTTGAAAATATGTACTTATTGAATGATTATAGTTTTTACTTTTATAAACAAAGTAGAAATATTTCATTTATTTGTATTAATATACAATTTTATACATTATTTTACTGTACAATAGAATAATTTAATAATAATAGAATCAAACAATATATATATATTTCTCTAAAAATCTTGTACTTACATAAAATAATGAAAATAAATCAAGATAATACTTGAGTTAAAACATCTTTTCACATACATTAACAAATGTTTAACAATATTTTCTTATTGATCTATTTTTTTATAAAAAAGTCACTAAATTTATTAATTAATATTATTTATTCTCAATAAATTGTAAATGAATTATCATTACTAATAAGTTTAATGTTAATTTCAAAATTCAGTATTCAATTATTTAACAATAAAATGTCTGTATATAATAACAAATTAACAATTTGATTTATAACTATTTTTCAGTAAACAACATGATATAAAAATTACTTTTTTTTATCTATAGAACATTCTTTAATGAATTAATTGAAATAATCACCGTAGTTTGAAAAATTATAAATTAAGAGAACACCCAACTTGAATCGAAATAAATTTGAATAAAATAAGAAACCATAGCATTGTTTAAATTACTTTGTTTGAAGTTAGAAATCTATTATTTCTTAAGAAAGTGTTATTAATTAGTAATTTAAGAGATATTTAAACGTGTTTAATTTATTTCTTAAATATTAATTTAAAAAATTAATTCCTATCGTTAGTAGTTTATTGCAAGTTACTTAAAAAAATTAAATTTATAAAGTTGTGTTTATTTTCATAATATATCACAGAAATTAAGATAGTTTTACATTCATTTTTAAAAAAATCCATATTGAAAGTTATCTATTTTTTATTATCTTGCTCTAGTTATTAATTCAATTAAATCTTCTATTTAATTTGAAAAATATTTATCAAATCTTCATTGAATTTATTTAAAAAATAGCACGTAGCTTTTTCTACAATAAAATTAATGAAACCAAAAACATACTTAAGTAATACCTGATACAAAATTAAATTGAGTAATCAAATTATTTATAAATGAAATACTGATATTTATATTATAATGCAATTGAAATTGTAGGAGAAAAGTATTTTTTGTAAATTGATCAATTTTTAGTCACGCGTAATGTAAAATTAAATTATATTTACAATAGATTTCTTGCGCTAGATAATAAAATAAAAAATATTTAATATTTATGTAAAATTTATGCAATAAATTATTAAATATATAAAAAATTGGTAACTAAAGTACAAGACAGAATATATTTAATGTATGTAATTTATAAACTGGCTACATATGACAGCCTATCTACCATTACTTAGAGATAAATATGCACTAATGAGGTAATATGTGGAATATTAGTGGAATATTATCATGTATTCAATAAAAACATTGCATAAAAGTTAATTTTAGTTACTTGCCTCCTGCAGCGACGCAGGTGATGTTCAGCGAAGCCCCTTCGCTATACGGGCCAAGCACATAATAGGGTATGTGCGATTCACCGTCCTCATCCAAAATGCTGAGCTGTTCCGGCGGTACTGAAATCATACAAAGCGTAATGAAACTTCGAAAGTAGATTAACTATACAGTACTTCAAGAGCTAGAGGCTTACTTTATTACTCTCATATTTTTCTTTGTCCCACTTAAAGGAAATATGTAATTTACAAATGAATGCGCCACGAAGTGTATATTTCAAGAAGTAACGATCTATAAATTTTATGCTTTTAAATTTCTCCAAAATTTTTATTGATATAAATAAAAAACATTATTATGGTGAGTTTTAAATTAAATCATAAACTTACTCGCTAGGATAAGACATGATTATTGATAAAAACGTGATACTTTCTATCGCTCCATCAAAGGTACTAATAGTAAATATGACTAAAGATATTTAATTTTTTTGTTTATCTGTTCAAAATTTTGATATTTTCATTTAATTTTGACATGCGACATCGATTTTATCCAGTAATATAACAAAATTAATTTCTTGATAAAGTATCCTATTTGTGTAGATATAATACTTATTGTATTTAAAAATATTCATATAATATATTTTTAATCTTAATATAATTTACAAATATTATACGAATATAAATTTAAGTAAAAATAACCGTAACGAACCAGACATATATAGAATATAGTATGCATATATATATATATATATATATATATATATATATATATATAGATATTGATAAAATACAGTATTTTACATATATATTTATACATTTGATTATATTATTATATTTTGAAAAAGTAGTATATTAATATTTAAGTTCTATTTTTATATATGATATATAATGTATTAGAAATTATTTAAATCGTTTCTTAATATTTTATGTAAATGATATTTCACATGATAAATTTGTAGAATCAATTTTATTTTTTAACAACGTTATAAAATTATATTATATAAATATTATATAAATTTTAATACTGAAAGTTTTATTAAATTAATAATTAAAGTTTTATTTGTATCTAAAAATCCGTATTTAAATATTACTTTGTCCTTACGAGTCTAATATTAAGTCTTATTTTATAATTTAATAATAATATGGTTATTAAAATAACATATTCATTAATATTATTTTTAATTCTTTAATTGATTTTAGGAATAAGTGTATAGTACTATTTATAGAATATAAAATCAAATTATATTATCTAATTGATTAAATTAAAAATTAATTGAAAGTTGCTCAAATATCATAGTGTGTAATAATTTCTTACGACTCAAAATATAATTGTTTTTTTTTTCTAAATATGATTAGATTTTAGTATGATCAAAATTTTAGCACTTCTTTATACGTATCAACAATAAAAAACTTTTTGAAGAAGCATAAAATTCATAGTATTATTGTTTTCTGCTGAAATATCTTAATATTATTTAAATATATTTATATCTTTAAATTCAATGAAACACAAGCTCTGTTTCTCAATTTAAGATATATAACTTACTTTATATAAACATTTTTATTATGTATATTATACGTGAATTTTATAACTTTAATTTTTTTAAATTTCATAAATACTGATTTTATATGGAAATTGCTGCGCATTCTCCGAGTGATAGTAACTAAGAAGAAGAGATAATTTAGTTTGGAGAAGTGTCGAATCGTGGATAGAAGGTACTATATTGAAGATCTCATAGAAGTTGTGTTATAGTTACTACTGATTGATGCCTGACGCGAGTTCGATATTAGCGCACATTGGTGCACCCTCGATCCTGAAAATTGATGAGAGGCTTGACGGGGAGCTCCACGTTCCGTACGATATATATGTTAAAATTTCGGAGCCCACTGATAATTTACGGATGATTGCAATTTCTATAAAGCGTTCTATTCTCTTCTGTGTCAATCTCATTCGTGGCTAACTGCATTTGCTAGTCCCGTAGAAGCATAGTATTTAACCGCTCTAAGTCCATGACTTCCGTTCTCACGAGTCTTAAAGAGTGATGACGGCGCGAACTTCAGCTGCATTTAACATTTTGACATAAATCGACCCATCGCACAGAATTATGCGCAACTTCAATTAGATTGATAGCGAGATACAAACAGATAGTCAGCTCGTAAGCATTTCGAAATTAATGTTAAATACAATACTCTAACACGTATTATAAGTAAAATCTTATCATAATAGAAGTTAAATGTTTTTATTTTTACGTTTTTTATTATATCTTTACATTCTTTTAATTAAAATATTATTAATATATAGAATATACCATAAAATTTTATTTAAAAAATGTAATATATTGTTTAATTGTATTGTGAGTTCTTTATATTTTTATGTTTTTGAATATTCATAATTAAATAAACTTTCGGTTTTGGCATATATTATAAAATTGCATTTTGAAGATTTTTATTTCCCAATAAAGTGATAAATCAGAATACGAAATATTAAATTCTTATGATTTCTTTAGAAACAATATCTTCCTTCCTAATATATTTTTTTTAATTTTATATAGTAAAATAAATTATATAATAAATAAAGTAAATATGTATTTGTCAAGTATGTATGTATTTGTAACTATACAAATTAATAATAATATTGAAAATTGAATATTATTGTTCAATTTAAAGAAAATTTTATTTAAAGCGCTTCAGCTACTAGTTTTCATATTTTAAAAGAAAGTCAATGCTTTAAAATTCTGAAAATCTTGAGTGAAAAAGTATGCAAATAATAAATCCAAACCTATTATGGGACTTAAGTGCTTTTACATTTATCAAGATTTCTTGAGAAACATTTCTTTTAAGCTTATCGAAACTTACGAATTAGTTAATATAATAAACTCTTAATTTTTACTACTCTTAATGATAGATTGTAAATCGAAATCACCGATGTAAAATAGAAAATAAATAATAAAATTTAATCACATTTACGGTTTTATTTTTGCATTAATAAATTATTGAAAAATTTTATCATGCTAACTTTCATAAACATGTATTAAGAATTAAGTCAGTATTTAAATCATGTAATGCGTAATGCAAATTGTCAAAAGTGTAGTAATTATATAAAATATTTTACATTTATAAATATCAATATAATACACAGAACATCATAAAATTATCACCTTTTACACTACTATACCTACATTATACCATTATAAATTATTATATATTACGTTACATTAAAATATTATACCATTATACATTACAAACACCATTATATCTACTCTTTTTAATTTGCAATTAATATTTTTTTATTTTATTTATATTACACTATATTATTCTACGTCCTATTTTCAAATAGATTATCTATATTCTTATTAGTTATTTTCAAAAAACAAAATCAATATTTCAGTGCATAATAAATGATTGGAAAACTAAATTAAAATGACAGATGGAATTACTTTAATTTAAATAAAAATGAAATATTATGTAAACTGAAAAATGAATTATTTTGATAATTTTATATCATTTAAAATGGATTCTACAAAATAGAATAAATTATACATTTGTTTCAGAAATAAGAAAAATATATTACTTTAATAAAATAAATTCTTTAAATTTTTCAATGGTATTAATTTTTCATTAGAATGAAAAGTCAGCGAATGGAAATTGATTTTCAAAAAATTGCATAACAAAGAATTAAATAATAGTTCTTCTATATATATCGTAAATCAAAATTATGCTATTAATAGTAGTATGATGATCATTCGTATTTATTCATAGATTAGTGCATAAGGCATGAAGATAAACACAATAAGTTTTAATCCTACATATAATTTTGAGGTATGCAAATCTTTTGACTTTCTAATTACGTCGAAATTTAGCAAGTTTAAAAATAAAGCTTATTATACTTAATGTAATTTTTTTTGTTTAAAGTAAACTCCGTAATATATACGTAAGTATAAATGACTATTGATAAATGGTTCTCTGTAAATCTGAGAATACCAATTTTATGAAAATAAGCTGTAAGGTATTGTCCTGCAAGATCAGTCTATTGGAAAATTATAAGAGATATAATTTCGAACATTTCAGAAACTATTTACATGAAAAGAATGGAATCAATTGAGAAAACAAATATATGGTTGTCTTACTAATGACAGTCAAATTGACTTTGCTGTTCCTAGTTGGTGATTGCTTGAAGTCCACTCGACATCTATAAAGTCCAGCATCCATCTCCTTCACGGACTCAAGGTTCAACTTTGCTGGAGTGTCAGCATGCTTGAAGAAGGCCCGACCTCCTAAACTGGGATCTTGCCAGTGGCTACCGTGTTCTAAAGCTGATATCCGTCGAGAGTCGAAACTATAAATAAAATAATTAGAATGAACAATTTCCAAGTTAATTTACATTTCAAGAGAAAAAAATCTTTCTCTTAAAGGTCTATATTCATGAAAGATCTGAGTAATATCCGGATAAGAGATTTTTTCCTCGATTATTCAAATATCGATTGCGAAATCTTCTCTCAATAGAATACTTTTATATAACTTTAGAAGCAATGAACACTTTTTTTACTCGCTCAATTATATTACAATTGTAATTACATGTTTTTTTTTTAATTCAAAGCTAAACATATATTCGGCTATATTTTTCAACTCACTCATTTTTAATTTTAAACTAATAATTTAAATATTCTTTAGAATATATCTTTTAGAACTTATATTTATTCATTTATTATATTATAATTAAGCTGATGGCTAATATGAGTACACAGTAAATTAATTACACTGATGAAATATACAAATCACATTGTAATAGATCGTTATCATTAATTAATATTAATCATTCAAAAATGATATAAAATCATAATATTTGTTTGGTGCCGATATTAAAGTAATTTCTGATAACGCAGAATTTGTTTAACTAAACAAATACATTTATTGAAATTGTTCGATTTTAAAGGGTTAGCTTATGTCTCGAACTATTTTAAAGGAAATCAATAACAGACAAGGCTGAAAAATATAATATATTTATTAAAAACAAGGTTAATGATTGTAAACAATTATTATAATATTGCACTGTTGTGTAGAAATCAATAATTCTGTTGGATTATTCAAATGATGTGTTCTTGTGATTCTTATGCTATGAAGGCTTCTATGGATTTTAATGTGTTGCTTTGAGGTTATGCTGATGTTGTCAATGTCAGCTGATGTCGTCAGTCAATCATGCTTGTGAGGCAGCATGGGATGATGGTAGTTGAATCAAGTATGCTTGATTGGTGAATAGCTATACTTGATGTGGTGTCAGATCTTAAATGGAATTTATTATGTAATCAATTATGTCTTTAATTATGTAAAGGGGGCAGCAGTAAAATCTAGTCACAGGAAAAACAATTAGAAGTAGTATTTCTAATTCGTGGAGGATTTGATAATCCGTATCTGTAGAGTCTATTAGTCGATCTGTGTTGGTCATGTGTAACCAATGTGTGTGAACCACAGTGACTCTTGCGTCAGCTGTTCAGGGCCTGCACGGCTCCGAAGTGTTCTTCGGACGAGCGCTAGTGTGTCCTGTTTGTGCTAGCGGGCCTGTACGATGTCGAGCGGTTATTTCGAGAGAGCGTAAGTGTGCCCGATCGACAATAGCG